CCTACTGGCTTTGTGGGAACTGGGGTGGCGAAAATGGTGGAAGGCACTGATGTGTTTTGTTTATTTATGCCTGAGTTATGTAAGATCATGAAAAATGTGATCTTGCTTAGGAGCCCCGCCTACCCAGCTCTTCCCGTGGCCTCGTGACCAGTTCCTGCAGTCGCTCATCTGAGGTACTTCCCTTCCTTGTCCAGTTATTTAAATGGATAATATCTAACAGGTTACACTGTTTTTTCTTTTTCTTTATCTTGGAGCTGTTTCTGTATAGTACAGAAAAGCCCTTTTGCTCTTTTTAATCATATCCCATAATGTGATAATATGCTGTCATTTATTTCTTTTGCTTGATATTTGCATCATTAGGTAAGTAACAACCCTTTTTACTTTATGAACACCAGTCTTGAAACCTAGATCCTCTTGCGTTTGTATAAGTTCATCTACAGGCCAAAGTCCTAAAATCAGAAAGGTGAGGTTGGAGGGACTGTGCCTTTTTGTTTTTTTAGCAGAAGGCTGTCAGATTCTGTCCCATCATTTTCCATCTGGGCACAAGGCCTGTTTTTCCACCTCCTTGCAAACACGATGGAGACACCGCTTTTAAATTCTGACCAAGGAGATTAAGAGTTGCTGCTGTGTGTTTTTTTTTTTTTTTTTTTAATTTCCCCAAAATGAAAGTCTGCAGGATGCCTGTTGGGGAGTGTCCTATTGTTCCATTTGCATCTGAAAATAGTCACACCTCCTGCTTTTTCCATTTGTTGTCTTGTATGTATGAAGCTGAAATCCCGGGAGGATTCGCCTGATGCTACAGGAGGGAAAAAAAATAAGTTAACAGTTGCAGAAACTCATGGTGGTTTATTAGTTTTTACAAGGTTTCCTAACTCAGAGCTAATTTTTCTCAGCACAAAGAATTCTAGTGATGGTGGAAGCTGAGGGCCCCTGTGGCCACCAGGGGGCAGCACGTCCCCGCGGAGAATGGGCTGCCACCCCACAGGGGCTTCAGCATGCAGCCGGGGGGCCTAGCAGCTCACCCGGTTACCTTCACTGGCATCTCATGGCTTCAGGAAAAAGCATAGCTACAAGACCATGATAAATGGAAATCGCCAATGCCAGTCGGGTGCACGATGGCATGGAATTAAGGGGAAACAAGGATCGAGACTCAATGAACAGACTACCATATTGTACAAGAGGACTTAAATATTTAGTTATTCAGCCACTCCGTGCTATGAAACACAGAAGGAACCTTTCCCATAGAGTGCATATTGACAGTGCTAAAAATGTCAGACAAGTTGCCCGTGTCTCTCCTGTTTTCCTAAAAGGTTGGATTTACTTTTACTTTTTTTTTTTTAACCTTTCAGAGTAGATGAATGGAGTGGGCGTTTGGCATAACAGTTAAGCCATGGCACGGGAGTTCAGTGTCCAATATTGGCTTGAGTCCAGGATGTGCTCTCCATTTAAGTTTCCTGCTAAAGTGCACCCTGAGAGCCAGCAGGTTCAAGTGCTTGGGTCTTTGCCGCCCTCCGGGAGACCTGGCTTGAGTTGCGGGTCCCTGGCTTTACCTGGCCCAGCTCTGGATGTGGTGGGCTTTTGGGGTGTGACTCAGTAGAGGGGTGATCTCTGTCTCTATGCCTTTCTGCCTTTCAAATAAATAACAAAACAGTGAATTCTACAACAGCTCCAGCTGTTGTAGCCATTTGTGGAATGTACGAGCACATCTTTGTCTCTCCTTCTTTCTGTAAATCTGATCTGCTTTCCAATAAAAATAGATCTTTAAAAAACACAATGAATGCTTCTTTGAAAAGCAAACTAGCTTCCTTCCTATTAGTTCATGCCATCAGTAAATAGTGATTGGGTGCCAGGTGCAAAGGATACGGGTTAGACAAAACATGGGCTGCTTGCTTGTTGGCAATGCGGAAAACTCTCAGGGCGTGACCCAGGTGATCAGGAGTCCCCCTCTTGGGATCCAGTAGGTCTGACCCTGGATTTCACTGTGTGCTGTGCCAGTCTGTTTCTCCATCATTCCTCTCAGGTCTGGCCTCAGAACTTGTAAGCATTTTGGGCCTGGTACAGTAGCTTGGTGGCTAAAATCCTCATGTTCCATGTGCTTGGATCCTGTATGGGCGCTGGTTCGGGTCCTGGCTGCTCCACTTCCCATCCAGCTCCCTGTTTGTGGCCTGGGAAAGCAGGAGAGGATGGCCCAAGTCCTTGGGACCCTGCATCTGCATGGGAGACCTTGTAGAAGCTCCTGGCTTTGGACTGGCTCAGCTCCAGCTGTTACAGCCATTTGAGGTGTGAACCAGTGGATAGAATATCTTTCACTCTGTAAATTTGCCTTTCCAATTAAAAAAAAAAAAGAGATTGTAAGAGCTTGTGGCTCACAGTGGGTTAAGCTGCCACTGCGAATTCCCGCAGCTGTCTCCTCTTCAGATCCAATTTCCTGCTCAAGTGCACCCTGGGAGGCAATGAGTGATGGCTCAAGTACTTGGGGGAGACCTGGATGGAATTCCTGGCTCCTCGCTTCCACCTGACTCAGCCCTGTTGTGGCCAGGTGGGGAGTGAACCAGTGGCTGGATAGAAGGTCTTTTGTTACTGTCTGTCTCTCCGCATTTGAAATCAGTACAAATGAACATCAATTAAAACATGTTAGATACTGCCCCTTCAGGAACGTCAAAAACCTAGGTCATTTGACTCTCCGTGAAACAGCCTGAAAACACACACCTGAGTTCTTGTCATCCATCAGTTTCAAAGTCCTGCCATGCCATCCTTTCTTGTTTATAAAAGGGAAACTGGTCTTAAACACTTCCTGGGGATGGATGAGGGTCCCCAGTCATCTGCTAAGGGAAAATCAGAAAGAAACAAATCTTAAAGAGGATGACCACTAACAGGAGAATTGAGACAAGTTTTCATAGTTTCTGGTTGCACAGGAAACAGGTGGTTGGAAGGATCTTTCAGGCTTTCATTTCCTGAGCTAAGCCATCACGACACATCATTGCCACTGTCCCAAGCAATACTGCCTGGCAGAGCTGGAGGGTGGCAGGCTGGGAAGGGCTTTGCTCTGTGCATTTTGCAACCTCCTTAGCTGGTGGCTCACCAAGTAGGACACCCCCCACCCCCATTTCTGGGCATGATTTGGAGCTTTGGTATTTTCGTGAATTCCTCATTGCCCAGCAGGTAAGCAGCTGCAGGTTCTGGTACCTTCAGGGAGGGGGCCAGGGAGCTCCAGCAACGCAAGGCAGGCCCTGGGCTGCCTGGCTGGTAACTAAGTCACAGGGGTAGTGTTCTCCGCAGTCTACACATGGGGAAACTGGCACTTGAGGTCTCCCAATGACTGCAGCCTGGACTTGAACTCAGGCAGCCCTTGGCTCTACAGGCTGTCTTCCCAATTGCTCGGTTCGCCCATTTTCTTATGCAAACGCCAAGAAAGGGGACAGAGGGATGGGCAGCAGCAATGGCGCCTGCGAATGCTTGTTACTGCGGTCTGGAGCTGGATGCCCCGAGTCACAAGCAGTCCTTTCTTCCAGCTGGAAAGGCAGACACAGAAGCCTGTTGCTATACAATGTGGTCACACGGTGGAACAGGAAAATCCAGTGGTGCCTCACAGAAGCCCGGTGTGTTCCCGAGCACATCCTAAAGGTGGAAAGTTACTGAGCTAATAGAGCCTGGCCGGCTGTTTCAGACCAGCTCCCGTGGATTCCCCTGTCGCCCTGCCTCCCAGAACACCAACTTTGCTTTTACGAGACTGCTCTGCAAAAGTGAAATTTAAACAAATCCACCGCCGTTCACGGCTTCGTGTCTCTTGTTTGTGTCTTAAAAACCCGGCACAGCACTCAGGTTAAACCTTACACAAAAAGAAGAGAGCTTTGCAATTCAACATTACACCAGAAATGTTGTACCTGAACTTTCGCTGGATGGCTTCAAAGTTTTCCCCATAGAATGGATGGGAGCAAAAGAGAAAAAAAGAAAAAAAAATTCCACTCCAAGGCGCAGAATGACTAATCTCCTCTTTGTGCCAGTTCAGTAAATTGCCTAATGGCCACGGCGGAAAAGTAAATGCTTTTACCCCGTACCCTTTTGCTCTGGAAACCAATGACGGAGCAAGTGCGTGCTAACAGAGATGGAAAAAGTGTGGCCCCAGGAATTCCAGAGCGGCAGTAAATTCTGGAGGATCTAAACCGTGCGGAGGCGTCCCTCTGGGTGGACCACCTCTGCAACCCCGAGTCTTACAAACGACCATAACCGAGGCGCAGAAATCCAGTAGTGCGTCCCCTAGCTCCCAGGAGGGTGCGCCCCGGGACGTTTTTGGGGAGCTGGCACCGCCCGGCGGACGCGAGGAGCCAGTGTTAGAATGGGCGGCCGCTTCCTCCTACCCTCCCCGAGCCAGAGCACAGTGGGCTCCGGGGCGCCTGCGAACCCAGGGCGCCATCGCCAAGCCGCAGCGCCAGCACCCAAGTCGCCTTGTACCAAGCCGGATAGTTGGATAGGGGTGGTGAATTTCGGGCGGGATCACCAGGGAAAGTCCTTGTCTCCTGGGTGGGACCGCCTTGCTCTGTGATGGGCACTTGGAAAAACAACACACAGGCACACACACACACACACACACACACACACACACACACGTCTTGAGGGGTGCTCCCCGAGCCATGAGGCCGTGCCCCGGAGGCTGCCCGGGTGCAAGCCCGAGGCTTTGGCGGCGAAGGAGATGGCAGATATGGGGGAAAACAAAGAAACTCGGGCCCAGCCCCAAGAGCCGCGTGTGGGCCGGGAGTCCTGCGTGGGAGTCGCGGGGCGCCTGTGCGAGCACATACATAGCTTGCCCGCTCGGGGTGCCAGGAGCCCGCGGCGCCCGCCCACCTGCCGCTTCGGCGGCGCGAGGAGGAGGAGGAGGAGGAGGAGGAAGAGGAGGAAGAGGGGAAGGTGGAGGAGGAAGGGAAGAAGGGGGCGCTGGGGAGCCCGGCGGGGGGCGGGGAGGCGGCGGGTGGGCGGGCGGTGCCACACGCCACGTCACGCCTATTGTAGCGGTCCCGCTATATAAGGTGGCGCCTACGCGCCGCGCTCCTCACCTACTTCTGCACCGGCCCGGAGCCCGCCGATCCTCCCCCAGCGCACCCGGCATCCCGCGCACCGACGGAGCGGACATGGGCAGAGCAATGGTGGTCAGGCTGGGGCTGGGGCTGCTGCTCCTGGCTCTGCTCCTACCCGCGCAGGTGAGGCGCCCTCTGCCCGCTTCCAGACCCAGCGCCCGGCAGAGCTGGGGAACTGCACCCCTGCTCTGGGTTGGGGGAGATGGCAAAGTGTGTCTGTAGGTTGGGAAGGTGGAGTCCCTCGGGATTCCAGTCTGCGCCCCAAGCTTGGGCCATTTCCTGGGACAAGGAAAGAGTATCTTTAGAAAAGTGACTCGGGACTTGGGGGAGTGAGGGGGCAGGACGGGGGTGTCTCTTTCTTTTACACTCCTGCGTGCAGGCTGTCCCCACTCTACCCAGGGCCCCGGGAACAATGCTCGGGCTCTGAGGACCTGCCCCAACCCAGCCAACCTGGTACACATCTTTATCCTTCCACCCTGTCCCTGCCCAGCTGCCAGCAAGGACTGGAAGGTGTGCCCACCTTGGCCTCCCTTCCCGGGGAGCACCGGCTCTTGGCAAGGACCTTTACTCCCCCACCCCATCCCCCACCACCCCTTGGGTCTGCGCGTTCCCCACGCTACACAAAGAGACGGGATGGTCCTTTTCGCAGAGCGCGGCTGCTGACTGCCCCCATCCCCCTGCCGCTGGAGGAGCTAGCTTGGGATCCCCCGGAAGCCCCGGCTTGCTCTTTCTCTCCTTATATCCCACCCTCAGCCCAATCCCCCAATCCTGCGCCTAAGCTTCGGGAAGGACCCGCACTCTCTGCGCGCGACCTTATAGGTCCAGTCCTTATCACCTTAGGAGCACGGCAGCCTGGACCGACCGGCTCTGGTGGTGATGAAGGGGGGAGCGGTGTGGCGGGACTTTTTTCTGTCTGAGTCCGGCACCAGGCTTTGCCCCAGTCCCCGGCGGCCCCCTCTCGGAGCAGCCTCCAAGCTGGCCGCCAATCGCCCCGCCGCGGGTCCCTGGGCGGTCCCGGGGGTGTATGCGCTCCGCGGTGGGGAGACCCGGGGCGGGAGCCAGAATAGTTCTCCCTCACCCCACTTGGACTGGGAGGCCGGGTGGAGGGTGCGGGCGTGGCGTAGTGGGGTGGGGGGCAGCTAGCGATTTTTGTCCGGCCTTGGGAGGCGGTGTTCCCTGGAGCGTGTCTTCGCGGTTTGAAAAGTTGGGTGCGCGCTCCTGGGCGTTGGTCTCCGGACGCTCACCCTCTGAGCTCACCTTGGGGCTCGGGTAGCCTACAGGGTGGCTGCCTTCCCCAGGCCTCCCCACCCAACTCCATTCCCGGTGGGGGAGGGGCGCGGCTGCGAGGAAGAAATCCCTCCCCCCCATTTAAGTCAATCTATCTTAGAATGGAAATTTTTTGTTCAGTGCCCGCTGGGTAGGTTAGCCTGTCTGAGCCCCGAGTGATGTCGGGGACTCTTACATGTTCAGATTTGTGCACTAACACGAGGGTTTTTTTTTTTTTTTTTTGTTACCTGCTACACCAAAGCTTTTTTTTTTTTTAAAGAAAAGCTTTAAGGATCCCAGATCGGTTCCTCAAAAGAAAGCGCCCGTTTCCCATAATTTATCGCATGAATACTTGTTCTTTTGAGGGGGTGTTATTTCTGAGAGCAAGCTTAGTCCCACAGGCAGTAGGTGCCAGATCTGTCTGTTTTGGATACTATTTATACTTTTTGCTCCATGCGTCTGTTTTGGATACATTTTGTACATTTCTTGGGTCAATATTTGTTTATGGGCTCACAACAAAGGGTGCCGGTGTAGGTGTGGGAGTTGGGTGTTTTTTAAAAAAATCTTTTGTGGATTAATAGGCAGCCAAGAGGGCATGTGGTCCAGGCTGTTGCTTGGTGCCACGTCTTCCCTTTGCCTGTAATCAGAAGCCCTGCTGAACCCTCCCTGGCCGGGAGAGCCGAGAGCTCCGATCTGCCTTTGTTCCGCGACAAAGGAAAGATTGTCACGTGCCCCACTGGACTGTGCATTTCATGGCTCCAAAAATCGCTGGTGAACCTGATGCCACTGAGGTGCTGGGGCACGGGGAGCGGGGGCAGGGGGACCTAGGGTTTTGGCCCTAGCACTGATGAGGCAGGGACCTGCTGCTGGTGAAACTAAACATCAGCGCTTGTGTCTTTTGTGAAGTCGCTCTGACTTTACGGTTGAAGTGGGTCTGCTTTGAAAGCAAGGGCTAGGTTGTTTTTTCCCCCACTTTGAAGCAACTACTGCCAGTTTTGAAAACGGAGCAGAGTTTTCAGTATTTCAGGAGAGAACATGAGCTACCCGACTGTCCCCTAAAGTTCGAGGGTACATTAGATTTAAGGGAAAATTACCAGGTTGTGTGGGTGTGTGGAAGTTACCTAGCACATCTGAGATATTGACAAAAGTTGTTATAGATCATCTTAATTATGCTACTGCAAAGTCTGAATGTTTTGTGCAACTTTAAAATCTTTCCCTTTCTAGGAAAATTGAGAAAACATTACTGTAATACAAGGGAATGCGTGTAGTCTCAGCAAGTGGCTTAGAGAACTGCTTCTTTGTTCCTTTGCGCAGAATTAAAATGCATTCATACTCTAGGGAGCTAATATGAGAATACCTACAAAGTACTTTTTTTTGCTTTTGTTGCTACTTGAATCCTTTGTTTTTTTTCTAATGTATTTGAAAGGCGGACAGATTTTCTGTCCACTGGTTCACCCCCCCATTACTTGTAATAGTTAGGATTGGGTCAGGACAAAAAGGAGCTGGGGTGGGTCCCGCACACAGGTGACAGGCATCTAAAGGCTTGAGCTGTCACTCAGTGCCTCTCAGGGTGCTGGAGTGGAGAGTGGAGCCCACGCTGAAACTTGGGCCCTCTGATGTGGGAGGCGGTGGTCCCATACAGTGGCTCCTTCCCGCTTATTTCTTTAAGCGTGTTGGAGTAATCTGTTTTGGGGGACTGAACAGGAATCCGGAATTCAGTGATGCAAGTAAGAAAACAGTAGGGGAAGAATCTATCTGTCCAACAGATTGTACACCTAAAATTGCATGTTCAAAGGTACGTGGTGGTGGTGGCTGGGACCTGTGGCCATTTATCAACCTTTTTGTGTGTTCTAGATTTATGCAAATCAAACAACTCTTGCAACAGAGTCAAGTAGCTTGTCCCAGAATGTTACGACTACTACTACTACTACGAGTCCGATCAATGCCACCACCAGGGGGGATGCCAGTGCACTGCAGTCCACAGCAGCCAGCCTCCTCGTGGTCTCTCTCTCCCTGCTACATCTCTACTGTTAGAGACTCAGGCCAAGAAGCATCAACATTTTCCCCTCTTCTAAACCCACCCCAAATGGCGACGAGAAGTCCACGTGGCAAGGAAGAAGCAATCTTCATGGCATCTACTAGCTCCACGCCTTGTCCCGCTGACACCAAAAGTGTTGAGAATCCCAAATTTGATTGGTTTGAAAAACATGGGAAGAGTTTGACCAGATGATGAGCGCCGACACTAAATCTGCTGGCATTTTCATGTTCAACATGAAGAGAGACAACATCCAAATTTAAAGACATGATTTCCTCGAATGTAGCTTAAGAAATATATGAACACTGAGCACCTCTACCTTGAAAAATTGAGAATAGATTTTGTCTTGCCTAGAATTAAAGGGTGGGGATGTGGAATGGAGATTCGTTTTTTCATTTGATTTGCTAAATGTGTAAGGCCATAAAACCAGTTAAGTAATACAAAAAGCTTCCATGATCCTATTTACACGTACATTAGAAGGAATTCCAGGCGTGGTAGATCCTCAGTGTGTTGTTGCAGCAGCACTAATTTAATGCTGACATACCCTAAAGCTCCACGTTGTCGTCACTGTTCTCTTAAGAACTGAACTTTTTTTTTTTCTCTCTGAGGCTTTGGACTTGACATTGCATTTGACCTTTTATGTACCAGGGCAATGATGGATTGGAATAGCCCCAAATTCAAGCACAAGTAAATCTTGCTTATCCTCAAGTTAAACCCGTAGGCGTTTTCCATCAGGTGCTTGTATTCAATGAGAATGTCAGAATCGTTTAGTTCAACTGGTTCCAAGGAGTACAGTTGCACTGGCCTCTGCCGATTTCAAAATGCTGCTGCTTTAGTTCTGCCTAGGTTGAGGACTTGTTCCAATTTAAAAAAAGGTGGGGGGAGTCTGTTTTGAAGGTGAAGTGGGAGATTTTGAAATTCACAATAGAAAGGTGAATATGGAAAGGAGCCAAAATGTCAAGTATTTGGGAAGTGAAGACCGGAAGCTTCCTTGCATTCAATTCACAAAAACTTTTATACTCTTTATGTAAATACATTTTTTTTAAGAAAATTCGACAACTATGGATCAGGAAAGCCACCCTCGGGAGCGCTCTGATCAGTCCGTATTTTTAGAAAGTTAGCACCTGATAGTTTAAGCCTAACATGGCTTCAGTCTGCAGAAAAATCACAATTCCCTTGAAGTACAGAGATGTTTTCAAAACCAACACTCCCTGGAATCTTGTTCGCATGGTCACACACTGATGCTTAGATGTTCTAATAGGTAATTATGGCCATAGGAGTCTGGCTAAATCAAGATCATTTCTCCTTTTTTTTTTTTTTTTAATCATCTTTAGAAATCTACATGGGAACAACCAGGTTGAACAGATCTGAAGCTACTGTGTGTGTGAATGAACACTCCTTTTTTGCTTCATACCTAAATGCTGTACAACTATTTTGAATTGTATATGTGTTTGTGTATTTATGCTTTGATTCATAGTAACTTCTCATGTTATGGAATTGATTTGCATTGAACACAAACTGTAAATAAAAAGAAATAAATGGCTGGAACAGAAATTCTTGGATTTTTGGTTTTTGTGGTATGAGAGAAATGTGTGTGTGCTTATGGTTGGTTTATTAAGGATACACCTCAGTAGTTTCCTACTGCATTATTATAGTTCCCTGTTTTTACCTTGCCAACAGCAGCAAGTTGTGACCAGAAAATTCCATCTGAAAGGTGGCTTCGTTAAGCCTTTACAGGGCACCCTTAGATTTCAACAAGCATTTGTTGTATGCCAGGATACCGAAGATTGAAAGCTGAACTTGTGGACAAAATCTTTCTAACTTATTTGAAAGAGAGAAATTTTCTATCCACTGGTTAACTCCCCAAATAGCTACAATGACCAGTACTAAGCCAGGCCAAAGCCAGGAGCTGGGGGCTTCATCCAGGTCTCCCACGTGGCTGCAGGGGCCTAAGCTCTTGAGCTGCCTTCCTCCTTCCCAGGTCATTCACAGAAAGTTGTGCTGGTCTGAAGTAGTCCCCATATAAGATGCCAGTACTGTTAGCGGTGGCTTTGCCTGCCACACCACAGTGCTGGCCTAGGACCAAATCTTTGATTTGAGAAGGAGTACATGATGACAAAGGGAACCCACACATTAAATGCTGTCAAGTTGTGCTGTGAGAAGTATGGAGGAATTCGTAGGTCTCCTGGGTTGACTTATCCTGAGAGTCTTAGGTGTTCAACTGAATTCTGCACAACAACACTGTTGGGTAGGAACAGCTTGTGTTTAGTCTGGCCTTGTACCACTTTTTCCATATCTGCATGGACAGCTACAAATTACTTTGGTTTCCTGGATGTTTGTTTCTATCTGCTTCTTTCACTTCCATCAATTCCTTTGGCCTGTCAAGTGTATGCTTGGACTCCCAAATTTTACACCTTTAGAGTAGTTTTGGGCAGTGGGCTAGAACTCCAGGGAGAAGGAAACACTGCAGTCATACACAGGATGTCTTCAAGGAGCCTCGGTTCTGTGCTGTCCATTGATGGAGTTAGGTCTGTTAAGGTATTAGTGTCTAATTACTTACGTGGTTACCTTCCACTGTCAGCTCCATAGTTTCATTACTGTCAGTAAGCACCTTGGTGGGTCATTGTTCTTTAGCATTGATCCAAACCTTTGCTTGAATGTATTTGTAGTGTTGTAGTGACATTTTTTTAAAGACTTATTTTGGGCCCAGTATGATTGCTAAATGGAAAAATCCATATATTGCACTTGCTATGATCCAATATGGGCAATGGTTCTTATCCTGGCTGCTCCACTTCCCATCCAGCTCCCTGCTTGTGGCCTGGAAAAGCAGTGGAGCGTCGCCCAAAGCCTTGGGACCCTGCACCCATGTGGGAGACCCGGAAGAAGATCCTGGTTCCTGGCTTTGGATTGGCTCAGCTCCAGCTATTGTGGCCATCTGGGGAGTGGACCAGTGGATGGGACATCTTTTTTTTTTGTTAAGATTTATTTATTTTTATTAGAAAGGCAGATTTGCCAAGAGTAGGAGAGACAAAAAGATCTATCTGCTAGTCCATTCCCCAATGGCTAGAATGGCCAGAGCTGAACTGATCTGAAGCCAGGAGCCTTTTCCAGGTCTCCCATCTGGGTGCAGGGTCCCAAGGCTTTGGGCCATGCTCCACTGCTTTCCTGGCCACAAGCAGGGAGCTGGATGGGAAGTGGAGCAGCTTGGCCTTGAGCTGGTGCCCATATGGATGGTGGCACTTGCAGATGATTAGCCAGTTGAGCCTTTGTGCTGGCCCCTGTAGTGGTTTTAATTACAGGAAATGGCAATACTAACAGATGGCCTGAGAGGTCTGTATTTCAAACCTACTCTTCCTTCTCCATTGTATAGCAGCAACTCCGGCATGATAATTAGTATCCATCATTCCTTAAGCACAGGAACTCTCTAGTTGACCTTTGATGCAGAGGCTTGTTGGAACCTGGAGTGGCCGAGAGTGGCTATCTCAAATTAAGCCTTCCGTGGGATCATTATCTCCTAGTGGAAGCCTTCTCCACTTTGGAACACCCGTGGAGCCTCTGGGCTCAGTAACAGGAAGTAGCATTTTGCTCACAAATCGCTGGGGGCCATGGTGAGTGCTGTTCCTCCACTTTGACCTCTGGATTGCTGGATCCTTCCCAGGGGCAATGGCATCGGGGTTAGAGCATATATAACTGGAGGGTGCAGCCTCAGTCCTGCAAGGTATTACCCTTCTTTGCTGTACCAACTTTTTTCAGAAAGCCATTGCTTGGTTGTATTGAGTCAGGGTCATGGAACACATGAACAAGATGTGCCGTTGGCTGTAAAATGAGTTCCTTGGTCAGAAGCAGGGCTGTCTAAGTTGCTGTAAGGGTGAGTAAAACACAGTGTGTACATGGGGAGCAGATCTGACAGAGATATTGTGTGCAGGAAAGGCAAATTCACAACCAGAACAAGAATATTCCAGAAACAGCACAGTACTGCTTTCAAGATGGAGGCAGTTCAGTGTAATTCACCTTCCCTTGAGTCCCTAGCTGGTCACCCTGAGGAATGATGCCTTTGAGGGGCTCTGGCAGCTGACTTGGCACTAATGGGCGGTTGTAGCCAGGTGGGCTATGGTGAAAATACGTCTCTGTCCTGGACCCCTGCCACCATGACTACTTGGTTTATGAGCAATGACAAGTGATGACTGGAGAAAGTGACTAGCTGGTATCCACAGAATGGGTTACCCTATACACTTGCTTATTAGACCCCTTCTCTACCAGGGTCACCCTTTTATGAGCATTCATGTGGGATATAGATATATTTTTGACCCACATCCCAAATTGGCCCATATTGCCAAATGTTTGGGCTAGACTAGGTCAAAGCCAGGAGCCTGGGAATCAGTACAAGTGTCCTGTGTGGATGGCAGGGACCTAGATACTTGAGCTGCTACTTGCTGCCTCTCAGGCTGCACATCATCCAGAAGCTGGAATCAGAAGTAGAGCTGAGTCCCAAGTGTCCTGAAATGGGATGCAGGCATCCCAGGCAGTCATGTAAATGCTGTACCAAATGCTTGCCTCTGATGTTTACTTTAGGAGATGGCCAGCATATTTTGCAGACTTTTTTTTTTTTTAAATAACACATCTGTGGTGGTGTTGTTTCTAAAGATCTATTTGTTTGAAAAGGTAGAGTGACAGTGAAAGGAAGAGAGAGATCAAGATAGATCTTCCATCTGCTGGTTCAGTCCCAAATGACCAAAGCTAGGAGCCTGGTATGCTGTGTGGGTCTCTCACATGGGTGGCAGGAGCCCAGGCGTTTGGATCATCATCCACTGCTTTCCCTGGTTCATCAGCAAGGAGCTGGATTAGAAGCAGAGCAACCGGAACTTGATGTGGCACTCCAGTGTGAGATACTGGCAACACAAGCAATGGCTTAACTGGCTGTGTCACAACCCTGGCTTCTGAGCAGAACCTTGTGTGAACCAAACTCAAGTTTCCTCTTTCTCAGTGAACTCTTCATGGGGCCATCAGTGCAAGGTGGAAGAGAGAAGACGGTGTGGCTGCTTAGGGGTCACGGGCATTGGCTCCACGTCTTGATGGAACTCACGACTTTAGAGCCAACTGAAGACCAGTTGCAAACACTAGGGTGCTTCCAAAAAGTCATGGGAAAATGAAATAGAAAAATAAGTGTATTGTGATACAAATATTTCTGAAATTTGTGCACAGTTTTGCATAATAAACATTTTTCATGAGCTTTGAAAGTACCCTGTATGCCACTTTCATTTGATTGATAATGAAGTACTACTGTGTATACCCAAATTTATGGTTGGCTGGGTGAGGCCACATCTGGTTAATGATGGGCAGCTCTGGTCACATAGAGACTCATGGTTGCTAACATGTAGTAACAAGTCAAAAACCTTGCTGTGTGTGGAAGATAGGAGGGCTTTGCTTTGAATTCTAAAGCTGACCATCCTTCATTTTCTTTTTTATGACGGTTTATTTATCTATATTGCAAAAGTAGATTTACACAGAGAGAAAGATATTTCATCTGAGCTTGGGAGCCTGAAGCTGGAAGCTACAAACTCAATCCAGTGTTGCCATGCCAGTGGCAGGAATCCAATTACTGGAGGTATCACCCAGCTGCAGGTTAAGAGGAAGTTGGAATTAGGAGCACCAGCTCTCAGATCCAGGCATTCTGGATAGGGGATATGAGTCTCCTAAGCCAGGAGACCCAACTGGCTCACTACCCAATTGGCCACATGGCTGGAACTAAGTTAATCTAAAACTAGGAGCCAGGAGCTTCTTCTGGGACTACCATTGTAGGTACAGGATCCCAAGGACTTGGGCCATCCTTTACTTTTTTCTATGCCACAAAAAAGGAGCTGGATGGGAAGCGAAGCAGCCAGGATGTGAACTGGTGCCTGTTTAGGATCCTGGCACTTGGAGGTGGAAGATTAGCTAGCTGAGGCATCGCACCAGCCCTAATCCTTCATTATAATCAATTTATAAAAACATAACAGAAATTTGGGGTGCACCTTTTTTTCTCCTTTAGTAGAAGAAAAAGAGCTCCTACTCTCGTGGCTGGTTCTCTCCCAAATGCCTGCAACATCTGGAGTTGAGCCAGGCTCAAGTCTGGAGTTGGGAACTCCATCCAGGACTCCATCCATGCAGGAGGTAGGAGCCCAATTATTTGACCCATCTTCTCTGCCTCCCAGAGTCTGTGTTAGTACAAAGCTGGAGTCAGGAGGCGGAGCCAAACATCAAATCTAAGTACTCTGGGGTGAGAAAAGGCCTCTTGGGCACTAAGGCAGACACCTGCTCCTACATACATCTTTTTAAAAGAGATAAAGAGAGGTAGATGTTGTGGCTAGTGGATTAAGCCACTGCTTGGGAGACTGCATTCCTTATCAAAGTGTTGGTTTGGGTTTCAGTTGCTCTGCTTCTGATCCAGCTTCCTGCTAACCCATCCTGGGAAGCCATGGCAGATGGTCCAAATACTTGGGCTGATGCACCCCATGTGGGAGATTTTAAAAAAGTAATTCACTGCTTATGGAAGAGTAAATACATTTACTTCTTGA